ACCAGTTCTTTATGAAACCTTTTTCCTTATGTAAACTTCTACCTCGAGAGGCTCTTGGACTTTTTATAGGGTGAATATCATTGTAAAAGAGAAAGAAACCTTACCCCTCTACAGGAGGGTAGTCATCGTATGCTAAGCCATATCAATAAGTTATATAGGTATATTAATTTAGCACGCGATGAGTTAATATTACTTCTTGCCTTGCTGTTTGCTGTTGACGTTCTTGTTTTGTTTCTGTTATTTTCTTAAAGAAAGATTAAATCCTTTTAGAAAATTTCACAGTTTTCGTATTTTCCTCTCATATAAATAATTGAATAATACCATGCCAAGTCAACGGCTATAGAATCCCCGTGGAAATCCCCGTATTGGGTCTTTAATTCTTTGAGCTTAACAACTTCAACAAAATATTATAATAACAATCAAAAGTATGAATGCCGGCCATTATTTAAAGAAGTAAGAGGGTACAAATGAAAATATTGATGAGTTTTCCATTTCACTGAAGACATTAAAGACAGAAAAATTTTATGACCTCTTCATTTTTTTTTCTTAAAGCAAACATCTCTGATATGTATTCTCCTCGTAATTAAAATGGAATAGTCCATTATCTATGAAGTATTACATAACGTGCCTTCTAAAGAACAAGCAGCTTTATAAGTACGACGAAATTTATGTAAGAAGATATTTAGACTACGGTATGCTGGAAACTTTATTTGTCTTGACACAGAATTAGAAGGAAAATAAGGCAAATAAATTGGTTTGTTTTGTTTTGTTTTACGGCATATCAACTTTAATGCCGACAAGATTTTTATTCCTGGTAATATTTTTTGTTCAAAAATATAAAGCTGATATAATATAAAATGCATTGTTGGCAATAATTATTTACAAAATGTATCGCTGGTAATATTTTTTGTTCAAAAATATAAAGCTGATATAATATAAAATGCATTGTTGGCAATAATTATTTACAAAATGTATCGCTGGTAATATTTTTTTCCTCAAAAACTTGATAGCTGGTATTAAAACCTATTTTTACACTTTCATAGTGTTTTGACCCCAGTTTGGGGGTTAAATATTTGCCCATAGCTGGGACACTAACTGGTGCTCCGACCCCGGGTTAGGGTGGATCTGGGAACACCAGCAATTAAGAGGCTTTTCAAAACCTCCTCATCAGAGGCCTTGCTGGTGGACGTATTTTATCGTCTTACCCAGGACTCAGATGTAGTTTATCGTCTTACCCCAGACGCCAAATAAATTAGTTATTTTTTCTTCATTTGTGATGGATTTATGATAGGCCAACTGAAAAAAAATGTTATTAGAAATAATAGTGATATTATTATCACTATTATTAATGTTAATGATTGAATAAGCTCCGTGTGTGTTCCAAGATTTTAAAATCCCCGTACAAATTTCCCGTATTGCTTAGTTGAGCTTAACAACTTTAACAAAATATTATAATAAGAATTATAAGTATGAATGTAAGTCATTATTTAAATAAGTAAGAAGGTAACAACTTTAACAAAGTATTACAATAAAAATAATAAATATAAATGCAGGTCTTTATTTAAAGAAGTAAGAGGGTACAAATGTAAAGACTAAAAATGGTCAAGGTTTCTATTTCGCTGGAGCAGGCATTAAACATATGTGAGTATTATTTTCTAAAACCAAATAGCTATGTTTTATTAATCTATTCTCGCAGTCAAACAGGAATGGTTCATTATTTATCCGGGGTAATGGCAGGGCATAATGGATGTGCTAACTAACTAAGGAACAAGCAGAATTATAATATTATTTATAATATTTCCTTCACGCACACACACACACACACACACATACAGCTACATACATAAATGTTTTCTTTCCTTTTTTTTTTTTTTGAGTGATCTGCATACGTGTAAATATAATTTTATCTTTCACTTTTTTGGTGAGCTATGTTGTACAGTGTAACCCGGATATAAGAGAGTAGTCGGGACCGGATAAGAAGTCTCTTATATCCAGCTTTCTCTTATATCCGGGTCTCTTATATTCGGGTTACACTGTATTTCATATAAATACTAGCAAAGCCTTTCACAGTTTACCTATTTGAATTTTCTGAAGAATCTTAATTCTTAAGTTAATGTTTGAAACAGCTCCTTAACTTCCATGACTATAGAATACTCATATAGATCCCCCCCCATTGCTTCATTAACTTTAACAAAATATTACAATAACAGTCATAAATATAAATGCAGGTCTTTATTTAAAGAAGTAAGAGGGTACAAATGAAAAGATTAAAAATTGAAAAGGTTTCCATTTCACTGAAGTAAACATTAAATATATAAGAGAATTATTGCTCCCTCTATCTTCTTTTTCTGTTTTTTTTTCTTTCTTTTCATTCAGCGCTTTTGATCTATCTCTTCTTCTATCCATGCTTTCAGGAATGCCCCAATTGTTTATCTGAAATTTGTGGGCAGGGGAGTGGCAAACTAGTACAGAGCATAACGTATGTGTTGAGTAAGGAACGAAGAAATAGATTTAGATGACATTTAAAGACAGATAAATAAATTTACTTTATTAATAAATTTACCCTTTATTTTATTTGTACTTTGGTTTTTTGCATGCCAACATCAGAATATTCTCTATATTCTGCTTTCCGAAAAGCTTCTGTTGGCGTGGATCGCCTTTATTTTGGGATAAATATATTTCTTTTCTTTTGGCAGTTTTAATATTGTCAGGATTATCAAGAAAAATAAAATAGAATATCTTATCTTTGACCTTTATATTTTCATGCTGAAATTCTTGTTTCCATTGAGTTTTTCGTTCTTTATGCAAAAATTTTACTTTCTTAAACAGAATTTTTTTTTATTCTACTGGTTCTTCGTTTGTTGATCGGTTTCTTTGGTAACATATGGTTCATTTAATTCTGAAATTTAATTTTCTTTGGAGCATTAAGAACTTCTTTTACAAAAATGTATTACATGTAACATTTTTTTTCAAAACTGTATTGCCGGTAATATTTTATTATGAAAATGTATTTTTATACTTTCATTTTGACCCCAGTTTGTGGGTTAACTATTTGACCATAGGTGGGACCCCAGTTTGTGGGTTAACTATTTGACCATAGGTGGGACCCCAGTTTGTGGGTTAACTATTTGACCATAGGTGGGACCCCAGTTTGTGGGTTAACTATTTGACCATAGGTGGGACCCCAGTTTGTGGGTTAACTATTTGACCATAGGTGGGACACTACCACACTAACCATTAATAATTATAAGTCCTCAAAACCTTCCGATCATAGGCTTTGCTTCTAGATGTCGTCATACACAAGATGTCTGATTTTTCGTGTGGTGCATTGTAATCTCTCTCTCTCTCTCTCTCTCTCTCTCTCTCTCTCTCTCTCTCTCTGTATATATATATATATATATATATATATATATATATATATATATATATATAAGATTAATGGTCAAAGTTGAATCAGACCAGGAAGCAGTAGTATTAAAAAGGGCTCAATACACGTGTGAAAAAATTAAATAAAAATAACATGTAGTGCTTTTAACACTATTTACATTATTCCAAATATTATCCTCATCTTTGTCGCCATATTTATTACAAGGATTCGGCGGTTGTACGCTCCGGCCTTCTTCAGGTGGTTGGAATGTCGAATTGAACCCTTTATTTCACTCACTGGGGTAGACTGTTCCAGTATCCCGAGGAGGTGAATTAATAAAATTAAGTAGCTGGGAAGAGTGGGGTGTTTAGCCTTGGTTGGAAACCAAACTAGGGGAAGGATAAGTTTGAGGACAAAACTTGTGGAGCTGGTAAATACAGCCCATGAAATGGCTACTTATCGCAGAAACCACAACACCGTGTTGAGGCTATAACCCTAAACTCCGCATGGAATGGAAATAAAACACCTCTCTCCCGCCCTCTTGCACTGTATACACAAACAAACACATAGGTGTGTGTGTGTGTGTGTGTGTGTGTGTGTGTGTGTGTGTGTGTGTGTGTGTGTGTGTGTGTAAGCACACTACATCATCCAGCATCTCTTACTATAAAATCTTCACTACGAATTTTTGTTCATTTTTTTAGACAGATATTCGGCATAAAAACATCAGCATTCAATTAACAAACTCTTTCCCACCCACATATCAATCTCTTCCAGTCAACAATCTCTTACGCCATAATGTTGCTCATAGCAGTTACGTTACATGTGTTTATTTACGCTCCTAATTATGTTTGTTTTTAATTACGCCAATCTTGCATTCTTCGGTCACGACAACAGTCTAGGTTTTCACCTTAACAGCGGAAAGAGAGAAAGTATGTGAGTTCCGAAATATAAGCTATTCAGTTCCACAAATTAAATAACCTTGAATATTCTTTCGTTTTTCTTCAACATTGAATAATTATTTAACATCAATCTATGCCGATTGTTTTCCTGTTTCCAACACTGTTTTAACCCGTTCTCCTATCTGATCATCTGTATCCACCATAGTTCACATTTAATTTTAGCTATATAGAGTTTTCATTTTGGGATAGGATGATGGTGGTGTCATTAATTACCCAAGGGACGTAATCGTTGATGGCCTCTCAGATAAAGCGCAACTTCAGATTTAAAACAACCTGTTGAAGCAAGATACAATGTACACATAAGAGACATGATATAACACCTGAAGATGATAAGAGATCATGCCGTTCGAAACATCTCTGTATGATTTAGGAAGAGAAAAGATAACAGTTGCGAAATTCTTTGACTTTTCATCTCCAGAGGGTGATTAAAAATGATGGCGATTTTTTCTATTTCTTCTTCTTTATTCTTGCATCCATCCATGTGTTTGTAATTACACATGAGTCCGCGTGTCTGTGATGAAGCGCTGGTCCCTTTTCTCCAATATCAAACGGAAAATAAAATGAAAATTTCAAATGGATATATATATATATATATATATATATATATATATATATATATATATATATATGGCCACTCGTATTCGAGGATACCCGTTTACCTCACATTTAAAGTTCAAGATATTCCCACGCGGTGACCGATATAAGTACTGACCAGGCTCGACGTTGCTTAACGTCGGTAATCGTACGGGAACCGGAAACGTAAGCCACCCATATTTGAGTAGACGGCTATATATATATATATATATATATATATATATATATATATATAAGTGAACATTGAATTCAACACTCAAAGGCGGTAGACTCTTTCATGCTAAACGCAATCATGATTGCGTCTATCATGAAACAGCCTGCCGCCTCTGAGTGTTTGCTTCAGTGTTCACTTTTGTATTTACATATGCTCTATTTCTGATATTGAGCACTTTATCTCATAAATAAAGCATACCTTAAAACTATATTTCTTCATATATATATATATGTGTGTGTTTGTGTGTATTGAAATTGATTAAGTCCGACAATTATTTAATATGTTTTCTGTTTATACGTTATTTTTATAGATACAGTTTATTTAAGTAAATTAAACAGTCTTAATTACATTTATTACATTATATCACATTGCACTGCATCTAGACATTGGTTCTGTTGTAATACTTCGGTCTATCACGTGGTATGACGTCATAGAACCTCATCTTGAACCCTCGCTCTGCTTCTGCTATTCCACGACCGTTATCGTCACATAGCAAATCTTGTATGTCAAAATAGCCATATATAATTTTTGACGGTGGATATCTTTCATGTTGTATCATGTCTATAAAGCCACTCTGCGGATGGCTCATGTGAGCCGAAAGCTTAGGACCAACTTAATAAAAAAATATCCAAATGTTGTACAATTTTTGCCTTTATTTTCACCGGAAATTAAAGCAAACAGTCGAACATTAGAACGGCTCATGATCAGACACAATAAACATTCATTGTCTGTTATATTTAATTATATATATATATATATATATATATGATACTGCACACATTCGTACATGTGTGGGTGTGTTGGATGAAGTGGAACTGCACGTGCATCTCTGATTATTCTGTGTTAACTTTCGACTGTGTTGAAACAAACGTCCATAGGTGGAGTGTAAAAATGAGAAAAAGGGAAAAAAAACTCGAAATTGTAAAAATCATTAAAACTCGCCAAGAGTTTTGTGAATTTCATAGACGAAACTTTATACGTGCACACGTGCCGAACAATTGGCAACCAAGTACAGATTCGCATAAAAAATGAAAATAATTCTTCTTTTTTTTTAAATTAAAGATCAAGATATTTAACTTGTCAACGTAGATATCTCAGTTGTCATCAAATTAAAAGTAATACCAATTGTAATATTAGCCGTTTCCTTATAAGGAAACATTTAGTATTCATTGACCGAGCAGCAAGTGCTGCCGTTGGTTAAAATTTTATAGAATATATCTCTTAAAATATTTTTTCTGTAAAATAGGTTTCTCAAATCCAGTAGCTTTTAATGTTCTTTCCGGTATTGATGGGATTTTCCTTCCCTTCTTTTTGTCTGGGTTAGTCTGGAACATCTGCATCTTGATTATGCCATTATTTTCTTTTCGAGTTACATGTGCTATCCATTTTCGCTGTTGCTGCTGTTGAAAGTCTACAAGTGATGTAGTTTCCGTTATTTGGAATTGTTTTTTCATTGTGATCCTCTTGAGCCTATTCTCAAGTTTCGATGAAGTATCGTCGTCACACGAAACGAAACAGGACTCGCTATTAACTAATAACCTTTCTGTAAAGCTTCGAAGAAAGGAATTTGTTTGTCGAGTTGTTCCGACCAATATTTTTATCGAAGTTTCGGCTGATGTATTCTTCGGCCTTTCTTGACGTTCGTCAGCTGAAATGTACTTATAAAACAAATTCAAAGGAGAATGTTATTCCGAACAATTCGTAGCATGATCTTCTTCTTCTTCTTCTTCTTCTTCTTCCATATGCCGTATCCCTTCAGGACAATGGCGATTATGGCTCTCCACAATTTCCTCTTATTTGTAGCTCTTAATAAATTTTCTCTTTCTGCTATCTCTCCCAAACCCTGCTCTGCCAGTGTTTCCCTCAAGCTCGCCAAGTAGGTTGTGAGTTGCTTTCCTGTGGGCCTCTTGCCAGCAGTCTCTCCTAGGCAGAGCCGGCGCGTCTTACCCGCGAAACCCCGACCGGGTTGGGGGAGATTTTTGTGTCCCCGTTGTGGCCTATGCCATTTTTTCAGCACTGTTTTATGGCCATCCGCCATTTTTTTTAAATTATTTTTATACTGACATTACATTGTCAGTCATCAGCTAATAATATACATCGTGTACCTGCATGGACGGTGAGGTGCGTACTACGCAGGAACCCCCAACGTGGTTGAAGGCCCAAAAGAGCTAGTTTTAACAATGTTTTTTTGTTGTTGTTGTTTTTTGTTTTTTTTTTTTTTTTTTTTGTACTTTTTACATTTTTTACCTAAGTTATATTGTCAATCATCAACTATAATAATCGACAGCGCCGGTGCTTACTGCCCCGAACTTCTCAACCGCATGAGGACCCCATGCCTAGTGGAGAGAGTGGCAGAAGTGCTAATTTATGTAGCGCTTATTTTTTTTATATTATAATTTTCTTTTTGAACAGTTCTTTTAAATCAATTAATAGGATAATATATCTTGGTAAAATCATTTTTTATTCCGGGATCCTCCACTAAGGAGGATCTTTGATTTTTTTTTTTTTTTACTGATAATAATACTAAACAGAAGTCCATAGCTTGTAATTAAAATAAAATTACGTCCCTATTTTTTACATTTATAGAAAGATAAAAATGAGAAACTGATCGCATAAAAAATAAGAATGTTTAAAGATTCCAAAACAGGAAAAAAAAGGCGTTACCCATCCTCCCCAATTTTCCTTTGTGGATTTTTGGCCCCCAAGTTGGAAAACTTTGAAATCGATATATAGCAGAGAGAGGTGAGGGGAGCTGTATCAAAGTTTCGATGAAGAACCCCCGAAACCCTAGCACCGGCCCTGGTCCTATGAGTCACAATTCAAAAATTCATAGATCGGGAAAAAAACGGAACAAATTTATATTCACTTTTTTCTTTTTTTCATATAGATGTGCATGTAACGCAGAGATTGTCACCCCAGAAAATGGTGTCGGCGAACCGAGTTCAAATTGATTCCCCTGCGCTTACTTTCACTTGAAATCCAACTCTTCTCCTCCAAGCAATGGGTTAAATAACCGAACGGCTAGAGCTTTCTAGTCTTGTGTTACAACTATTATAGGTGAACAAGAACTTTGAATTCAAAAAACAATTTAATAGGAGCTGATATATCTGCCTATCGCCCGGTTCACACTCCCTCTTTATCTTTAGAACAAGGGTAGAGGTTTATCCCCTATTTCCTATTTAGGATTTAGTTTCTGTTTATTTCAAAAGTCTTCTCATCCTCTTTCACTCGCAGTAACCATTTCGCCTTGCCTAAGGTGAATTAATAAGAAAAAAAAATCATCTCGCTAATTCAACAGGAAAACGGTGAGAACTGGTTACCAATCTAGTAGTACACTTAAATTCATGATGTCGCGGTACCAAGGATTGGGGAAGCTCATCAGAACAATTGCGATGGAAATATTGAGAGAAAAGACAAAGGGGAGCCATGTTATGGCAGGTGGAAAAGGAATGAAGTCAAGATGCCAGGTCAGGATGGTTAACATTACAGACCCTTTGGATTTTGTCAAGAATTTCAAGATAAATAGACTGAGCCAGACACCAATGTACGAATGATATCTTCTTACGAGAAAAAAAAGGTTTGGCACGACACAGCCAACTTGTCTAGCTGTAGATCTAGAAATTGTTTCACTATTATCACTCCACATTATATCAGTAGCAAACGTGAGCCCAAAAAGGTGTAATAAGTTGCTGCTCTGAAGATTAGCATCAGCCATGCAGGTGGAAAGAAGAAAATCTTGTCCATGGCGATTAAATGGTAGCAGTTGTGCTTTGGAAGCGTTCAGATTTACAAGCCATTCCTTATTCCAGTTAACCACTGGTTGGAGGTCGTTTTCGAGACAAGCTACCAGTTTTATTTTGTTGGAAGTATCGGACTTACCATTAAGACGGGATATAATAGTATAATACAAATAATAGTAGTATCATCAGCATAAATACCGAGATGGGAACTAATGACAACGAAAAACTTGTTGACAAAGATAGGAAACAGTGTACGTCCAAGGATTGATCCCTGTGAGACCACCCACATTAATGTGAAATGATGTAGAAGCGTGGCCATTCAACACAACCTTCATCGCACGATTTGTTAAGAATATCGGATTAGGCAAAATATTCGCCCAGAGATACCATAGCCCTTGAACTTGTGGTGAAGGCCAGTATGCCAAAACCTGTCGAACATATCTAAAGCCACAGCCCGAACCACACCATATTTTTTATCTAAAGCCTGATAGACAAATTCAGTAATAACTAATAACACGTCGGTGTTAGATCCAAGAGAAAGGACGCCGTGTGGAATGAGAGGCTTAACCAATTCGAAGTTGATTAGAGCTTCTAGTCCTTTGCCAAAAAATGACAAAATACTAATAGGGTGATAATTCGAGTTTTTTTTTTGTTTTTTTTTTAAAGCTTTTCACCCCAAACCAGGCAGGAGTGCTTCTAGCACGCAAGGGCTTACAGAGAATGAGAGCAAGAGTAAAGAGGCATGATAGAGGAAAGAATGAAGAGAAGGACGGGGAATAGGACGGAGATGTCGATTGACATTGCATTTGAATAGTTGGAGATTATAGCTATCAGGGAAGCAAGTAAGAGGAAGCGAGTTCCACTGACGGGAAGTGCGAGATATGAAGCTATTGGAGCGGAAGAGACGGCTACATTTAACCGTTTCGACAGTGAAAAGGTGGGACTGGGATGCCAACCTAGTAGCACGCTTAAATTCATGCAATTTGGGAACTAGCGAAAGTCGCTCGCGTCAGAAGATTCACCAAATTTCATAAAGATAGGAACTACAGAGGAGGATTTCTAACAAGCTGAAAAGCAAGAAGCAGAAAGTTATTTATTGCAGAGTTTAGAGAAAACAGGAGCCAATTCAGGAGCGAATTTCTTTAGGACAATTGCAAGGATACAGTCAAATCCGCAAGCCTGATGATAGCTGAAAATAGCAGATGACA